AGAGCGACCCCCCCCCCAGTGCGCCCTAAAGCGCCCCGGATCCGAGCTCCTCTCTTCCTGAGGGGCTCGTTCGGGTCTCCGCTCGCGCAGATTCCCTCCTCCACCGCGGGCGGGCGAGGCGCCCTCGGGAGCAACCCGAGGATGTGTCCGCCATTCGCGGGAGCCAGACCGGAAGCCCCCTCTCTGTTAATTTTCTTAGTTCTGTCAGTGGCCTTTGACATCTGTGGACCCTTCCATTTTATTACACTGATTCAAGAAGAGAACAGGGATTACAAGCGTTGTACACTGATAGTTTTGAATTTTCTTTTTATCTTTTAGGACACACGGAGTTTCTACTGGAGATGCAAAACCAGTCGCCTGCCTTCTTAGTTGTGGAATGCCCCAGGATTCCATTCTGTCATCAATGCTGTTCAGTGTTTACATCAGGCTCTTAAATGAGATAATCCAGAACTCTGAGGTTGGGTATTATTAATACAGTGCCTGGATGCAGTGGTCAAGTAGATGGGACAGGATCCACATAAGACAAATGATGCTGATGTTTAGGAGGGGAGTGATCTTGTTGTGTTAATGAGCTCAAATTGTCATTGTCTGAGCATGTAAAAAAACCCCTGTTATACTCATACACTTTTATATTCATTACACTGAACTGGTTACTGGTCTGCTTCTGGATTCAGTTCAAGGTGTTTAACGTCTTCAAGATTTTTATAACCTGTGGCCTGTGTATCTAAAGTGCAAGCTCTCCTAGTATTATCTCATGTGTTGTCTTAGATTTGGCCATCAAACCAATTGTCCCACTGTCAAGGATAGTCCAAGTGGAATGAATCAGAAATCAGACATTTTTAGTGGCTGCTCTCTCATTATGGAACAGCACCTGATACTGTCATATCTCTTAAATTCTGGCTTTGTTAGAGGCTTGCAAGAATCAGTTACTTCAGATGGTTTTTTGCTTAAATGATTACTGGAAAATCTCTGAGTATTGTTTCAGTGCTGTTGACTTCTGTACTAATGTCTCACAATGAAATCCTAAGCAGTGCTGCTTCAATGGACTTACAAAGATGCAACTCTGCTGAGAACTGCACTGCTAGGAGGTTAGTGCTGACAGAATGCAGGATCAAATTTTATAAAGAAAATCTACAACTGGCTGAGTTGGTTTTGTCTTAATATCTGTATTTGATTTTTTTTATAAATGAAAAAACTTCCAGATAAACATCAGCTTACAATACTTGTTCAACTATATGCCACTCCTATAGAAATGTGTGAGCAGATATAAATTTTTACTAATGTAAAATAGCTTAAACTTTCTTGTTTCAACAACACAGCTTCATTAGCAAATAATCCACAATAATGTATGTGTGATTTACAAATATAAGCTATATATATATATTGAGCAAAGAGCGACATACCTTTGACTCATCAAGTTCAAGCTTTTTTAAGGATTTTCTAACATAATCAAGAAACGAAGATGATTTAGAAAATACTTTTCCAATATTTCGATCACTGAAACAATAAATAAATTAAAAGACTATAAATATTAACAGCCCACAGAACACATATCTTCTAGAAGGCATTAGTGGCAAATTGAGGTCATAAAATTACTTTTACTTAAAGTTTACAAATTATTTCATTACTTAGTGATGAATTATTTGGTACTAAATGAGTTTTGTTTTTAATGGAGTTGCAACTGAATAGAGTTGATATTGAATATCCATATGTTATTTCACCTAGGTGAAAGGACTGTTTCCAGCTTTCCAATAAGCTGGCTTTGTATAGCTCCTAGCATCCTGTCAAAGAAGACGGGGACGGCAAAGGATGAGATGGTTAGACAGTGTCAGCGATGCAACGAACATGAAACTGAGCCAACTTCGGAGGACGGCGGAAGACAGGAGAGCCTGGCGGGAGATTGTCCATGGGGTCGCGAAGAGTCGGACTCGACTGTGCGACTGAACAACAAGCATCCTGTGGCCATTTTAAATGCATTTGTTGCTAAACAGAAGACAGAGCAACACAACTAAAAGCTTAACTTTTCAGAGCCATCAGCTGAGCCCATGGTAAACTGATTTGGGATGAAAAGCAAACCATTATTATAAAGTATGCTAAATGGCAAATTAAAATATCAGAAAGTGTTTTCACATAAATCAAACACAATAAATACCCAAAGCTGAAAATATAGTAGACACGGTTTATCTAAATATTATCTAAATATTATATCTGCATTTTGAGAATATATGATCACATAATAAGCTGATGTGTTTCATTAAGTTGGATGTCTATAAATACTATTTCCCAGGGGTCATTTCCTATGGGAGCACACAGGAGCGGAGCTCCGGCAGTAAGGAGCCCAGGCGGTGGGCACATGCAACAAGCCCCACCCCCTGCTCCCAGCAGCCCTCAATTGGGCCACAAGGAGCAAGAAGCAGCCAGGTAAGTTCCAGAGCCCCCCCCCACCCGCCTTCAGGTACAAGCTCTCCCTCCTCTGTGAGCTAGCAATCCAAAACAGTCCAGTGGCACCTTTAAAACCAAGTTTTATTCAGGTAAAAGCTCTCTCTCCTCTGTGAGGGCAGATCTGCAAGTGTCCCCCCCCCCCCAATAGCTAGCAATCCAAAGCAGTCCAGTGGAGCTTGAACGGTGGGTATTGCCTTCTGACACACTTCCGGTGATGTCAGGGGGTGTGGTATATGCAAATAAGTTATGCAAATAAGTTATGCTAATGAGCTCCTGCACCTCTTTTTCTACGAAATGACCCCTGCTCTTTCCAATTACCATTTTTCAAATTATTAAGTTTATATATCACAATTTTGCTATGTGACATTCATGACAGCTTACCAAAAAAAAACCCAATATAAAAACATAAAAGCAATAAAAAGCAGCAGCAATTGAAATTGTAATTAAACTAAAACTAGGAACAAATGTAGCACTGAGTGAATGTGGAGGGAAGCTTAGGCTTGGGGAGATAAGAAGACTGCCTCTAGAGCATACAAAAATACCATGGCCAGAGAAAGTGTCCTGTTTCCAGAAGACAAAGCCCCCCCCCCCAAAAAAAAGAACAGAAAAGAAAAGAAAAGGGATTCCGATGATTATCTTGACTGGGGAAGAGGCTCACATGGGAAATTATAGTCCTTCCGATACCAGGGTCACATAATGCTCAGGGCTTCAAAAAGTCAAAACTTTGAATGTTTCCACAAACTAAAAGCCAGTGAAGAACAGATGTCAAAGTGCAGTGGTTAAGAGCCTGGACTCTAATCTGGGAGAACTGGGTTTGATTCCCCACTCCTTCACATCCAGCTACTGATGTGACCTTGGGTCAATCACAAGTTCTTTCAGAGCTGTTCTCTCAAGAGCAGTCCTTGAAAGAGCTCTCTCAGCCCCACCAACCTCACAGGGTGTCTACTGTGGAGAAGGGAAGGGAAAGGAGATTGTAAGCTGCTCTGAGACTCCTTCGGGTAGTGAAGGGTAGGGTATAAATCCAATCTCCTCTTCCTCTTCTTCTAAATTCAAGGCCTATGTTGTTAAAGTTGTATTTTATGTGCACTGTATAATTGATTAATTTTGTTTCATTTATTTTTATATTGTTTCTGCTCAACCGTAGTACCTAATTCAATTTTTGGGTTGCGTCCCCCCCCCTTTGGTGTGTTGGTGATGTCAGCAATCCAGAGCAATTCCATAAATGATGGCTCTGAAAGCTGCTAAGAAATACAGGAGAATCAGCAAGGTCATTATCCCCCCCAAGACATACATACACACAGCAGTGTATCTGTCAGCACAGTTAGTCCACAATGGTGATAAAGAAATTCAGTCCCAAACCCAGGTTCAAAGAATAAAATCAGACTAGATCATTATGTACGGATTTCCTATAAGTCACTATTATAGGCACAAACAGTCTTCTAAAAAAAAAGTTTTCCCTGAAAAATGGTAGAAAACCTATTAGATGTTAAGGGAACAGATGTACAGCACCTTTGCCTTCCTAAATTTATCAGCAATTCAGGTCTAACAAGAAGTGTTTGTATCAACTTGAATTAATACATGTTACATTTGTTTTTTAGACTAATTTGTTTTAGCTAATGGAGACGTATTCTTTTTTTAGCTATACATCTACCTTTCTCCCTACCACTGGGACTTAAGGCAGTAACAAAGTTAAAACACACAATATTAATTAAAACAAACACCATTAATGAACATTAAAATCCTCAGAGGCCTTCTTGGCATGTTCAATTTTACAGTCCCTTTGGAATGTCAACAGGCAGTCACTGAATAAGCACATGAACAAGCAGCAGACTACTGTATTTTGATGGAAGAAGGTACAACCAAAAAACATTGTGTGTTGAGCAAAGTTGGCACATGGGTTCAGATTGGGAGACCCAGATATGTGGGTCAGTCTGGTGTAGTGGTTAAGTGCGCGGACTCTAATCTGGGAGAACCGGGTTTGATTCCCCACTCCTCCACTTGCACCTGCTGATGTGACCTTGGGTCAGTCACAAGCTTTGGCACAGCTGTCCTTGAAAAAAAGAGCAGTTTGTGTCAGAGTTCTCTCAGCCCCACCCACCTCACAGGGTGTCTGTTGTGGGGAGGGGAAAGGAAAGGAGTTTGTAAGCCGCTCTGAGACTCCCAAGTGAAGGGCGGGGTATAAATCCAATCTCCTCCTCCTCCTCCTCCACATATCATGAAGAGAAGTACCAGCATTCTGAATTAGATCTGGAATCAAACTGGCAACCAATGATAGGAAAATGCTCCCAATGTTTACCCCCTGACAGTAAACAGACTGCCACATTCTCTATCAAATGCAGTTTCCAGGTAGTCGTCAAGGGCAGTCCTACATTCAGTGCACTGTAACTATTGAGTCTCAGTATTACTGTAGTGTTGAAAGAGAAAATTTTTGTGCAAAATGTAGTTGGAAATGTGCACTCTTAGCCACTCATATTGGTTTACAGAGATTCTTAAAGCTTTTTTCCAACTACTGTTGCTTCTCTTCCCACACATTGGTAGCACCACTATACAACAAGACTTAGGCTGCAAATCCTAAAGACACTTCCTGGGGAGTAAGCCCAATTAAATAAGATGAGACGTAATTCTGAGTAGACCTGTTTAGGATTGCTCTCTACAGAAACAGAAGTGGCTTTTCAATAATGATATGTGAAATCATAGCCTCCTACCTTCTGTTGACTCCATAAAATTCTTCTATAATAACCTGTAGGACAGCTCGATAAAACAATGATTCTGTAGGCAGCTGCAAGGAATCAAAGAACAGCAGGAAGTTGGTTGGAACCAGACACTACAACAGTGAAAAATAGTTGGCAGCTTCCAACTAATTACTGGTTTGTATTCATTCCGTGTTAGTAATAATTCTCTTGTTCCCAAGTTAAAGCAATGTTCTTTAGACATACAACAATGTAACCATAATTTTTGGAAAAAATAAACACAGGAAACTGCAAACACTTAATGGAAGTGAGAAGAGAGCTAGAGGAAAAAGAAAGGCCCCACAGGCTAAATTATGCTATTTGTTATGCTGGCTTTATTGCAGAAATGTACCCAACAGAGTTCGACCTGTTTCTTTAAAGTCAAAGAGAAAATATTTCGCAAATATTAAATGTACTCCTTTCCCTTCATTTTCCTTCCCTGATGTATACAGAAAGCACTAGTTTTCTAAAAACAGTGCATGTGTTGAAGAACTTCATACCTTTACGAATGAACTATGTTTACATAAGAAAAAATAATGTTTGCTTCTTTAAAACGTAGGGCCAAATTCATCTCCTGTGTAAACTCCACTGAGACCAGTGGGTTTACAGCAGGGATACACAAGTCTGTAAATCTGGTGTGCCAAACATCCACCCAACTTGCATACACACACCAAAAGAGGTGATAAATTATAAAGGAATGATTTAAAGCATCCACAGAAAGAATTGAGACAGGAATTTAAGAATAAAGAATACTGTGAGTCCTGTCAGAAGCAAGCATTTACAATAAATCAAAGCAAATCTTTGCAATACATTCATATTTTTTATACGGTTACCTATGTATAACTCACATTGAGAGGGGAAATTATAGTTGATTCTTCATTAGCCTAGGTTAGGAAGCTGTCTGAATCTTGCCAGTGTGTTCTGGTTAAGCGAGAGGAAGTTAAACTGTATGATGTAATTTCTGGCTTTAAGTCCCTTCAATATTAGGCTTTAAAACAGAAATAACATCTCAGTAACAAGATAGATTCAGGTGGGTAGCCATGTTGGTCTGAAGCAGCAAAATGAAGTTTGAGTCCAGTGGTACCTTCAAGACCAGGTATCTGAAGAAGCGCACATGCACACAAAAGCTTATACTCAGAATAAAACATTGTTGGTTTTAAAGGTACCACTGGACTCAAACTTTTATCTCAGTAAACACAGGTTGCTTACCTGCAACTGGTGATCTTCAAGTGGTCATCTGTGCAGTCACACCCATGGGATTATGCACCTGCGCTGATCCGAATCAGTGGTATGCAAAACTCACAAAGAGATTTTTGCGTCTCTCCTCCAGGCATGCGCGGGAACCCCACTGCGCATGCCCAAGGGGGAGGGGCACGGACATCCCACCAGTTCCTTCTGACCGCTGTCGTGTCAATAACCAGAGAAAAGTACTGAAGCGACAGCAGTGGGGAAGGATAGGCGGGTGGTATGACTGCACAGATGACCACTTGAAGATCACCAGTTACAGGTAAGCAACCTGTTTATCTTCCTCGTGGTCTCTGTGCATCACACCTATGGGAGATTGAAAAGCCGTGGCTCACCTGGAGGCGGGAGGTGTCGCAATTCAAAGCTCTGCTGACAAAAGGACTAGATGACCCAGGTCCACTCTGTGGCGTTCACGAACATCAACAGCGTAGTGCTTGATGAAGGTGTTCGGAGTAGACCATGTCGCAGCCCCACAGATCGCCGACAGGGAAGCACCCTTCAAGAAGCCATGGATCTTGTAGAGAGCGCTCACACAGGCAAGGGTAACGGGCGTTTAGCCAACCGGTAGCACAGCTTAATAGTCTCAACAATCCATTTGGAGAGACGTTGTGCTGAGATCTTTAACCCTGCGGAGTGACTGGAGTAGGAGACAAATAAATGATTGTCCCTCCTACTTGGACGTTTCCTATTTAGGTAAAAGAGCAGCGCCCTCTGAACATCTAGAGAGTGGAGGAGTTGCTGTTGTCCATCTTCCAGTTTAGGGAAGAAGTTAGGCAATAAGATCTCCGAGGCTAGGTGAAACTCGGAGACCACCTTAGGCAGAAAAGATATGTCAGGGACCAGTCTTACACTGTCCGGCAGGAATACAAGGAAAGGTGGGTCATGGCGTAGAACCACAAGTTCGCCCACCTGGCCGAGGTGATGGCGATGAGAAAGCTTTAGCTTGCAAGTCGCTATGGGCTCAAAGGGCCGCCCCATGAAATGGTGGAGCACCAGCGGTAGATCCCACAAGGGTACTGGTGAGCAGATTGGTGGATACAGGTGGAGGAGACCCTTCAGAAATCTCTTCAAGAAAAAACTGAAAAGCCATCGAAGCCTGGATGGTAGGCCGAAATTGCAGCCAAATACACTCTGAGTGAGGAGTACGAGAGCCCCTTCTCTGCCAGTGAGAGCAGAAAGTCTAAGACCTGGTCAATCCTGACAGAAGCCGGGAGGACATCAGAGGGCTGTATGGAGGCTAAGAAGTGGGCCCACTTCCCACTGTAGGAACGTCACATAGAATATTTCCTGGCATTGAGTAGCACAGTGTTGATTCTGTCAGAGAAAGTTGAGTGTCCACGAGATAAGTTGTTAACTTGAGCTTGTATACCTCATGGAATAGGAGAGCTCCTCCCTCCACCAGGAGCAGATCTGCCACCTGTGGGAGGGGATGGCGCGCCTTGGCTAGCGAGAGGAGATTGGCGAACCAAGGTTGCTTCGGCCACCAGGGGTTGATCAGGATGCACCTTGTATGGACCCTCATGAGTCTTTGGACTGTTCTCAGCAACAGAGGCAGAGACGGGAATATATATAGGAAGTTGTTGTCCCATGGGTACAGGAGTCCGTCTCCCAAAGCCCTGGGATCCTGAGCCGCCACACAGCAAAACAGGTTGCACTTCGAATTGTGCCTGTTGGCGTCCCCACTTTCGAAACACGGGACGTAGGTAGGCCCAGTTCAGTTCCTAGTCGTGATGCTGGGAGAGACCCCTGCTGAGCCGGTCCGCATGTACACTGGCCTTGCCAGCTATGTGTGAGGCAATGGGAAAGATGTGCAGAGGCATGCACCAGGCCCAAAGGTCCAGAGCCAGGAGGCAGAGACTGCGGGAGACTGTTCCACCCTGCCTGTTGACGTAACTGAGGCCCGTCGTATTGTCGGTTAAGACAGTTACGCATTGTCCTGCGAGCAGAAGCTGGAAACACTGAAGGGCCAATTTTATTGCCAACAGTGCCAGAAAGTTAATGTGTCTCCTTGAGGACACAGCATTCCACCTGTGACCTACAGAGAGGCCGTTGAGGTGGGCTCCCCAGCCCCACAGCGAAGCGTCGGTTGTGAGGGTGAGAGGACAGAATGGGATCCCCTCCATCAGGTTGTCTGACTGCGTCCACCACAGGAGGGAGTCGCTTACCTCTTCTGGCGGGGAAAGACCAACTGATTGGGACATCTTTAGGGGCTTGAAGTCACGGATGAACCAAAGCTGGAGTGGTCACATTCACAACTTTGCAAAACGGAGGACTGCAGTTGTTGCCGCCATTAGGCCTAGGAGGCCTTGAATTTGGAAGGCGGAGGAGGTTCCTCGTAGTCGAACCTGTTCTGCCAGAACGGTTAGGGTTCGTGCCCTGTCCCGAGGCAGGAAAGCTGCGCCCTCTTTGGAGTCGAGTATTGCCCCTATGAACTGCACTCTTTGAGAAGGGACTAGGCGCAACTTCTTGTGGTTGACCCTGAGTCCCAGACAATGAAGGAGATCGAGGGCCTGAGAAATCTGACGAATGAGGAGGACCCTGGAAGGGGCGACCAGAAGCCAATCGTCCAGTTACGGGAACACCGTCAGGCCACAGAGGCGGAGATGCGCCACGACAACCATCATCTTGGTTAAGGCCCCAGGGGCTGTGCTGAGGCCAAACGGTAGACTCCTGTATTGGTAGTGACTGCCTCCTATTGCGAATCGGAGGTATTTGCGATGGGCGGGGTGGATAGTTAAATAGAAATAGGCATCCTAGAGGTCGAGGGTGGCCATCCAGCATCCCTGGAACAGAAGAGGCAGAATGATGGGAAGGGATGTCATTTTGAATTTTTGGTACAGTATATAGGCGTTGAGGCCGCAAAGGTCTAAGATCAGCCTCTGCCCATCGTCCCTCTTGGGAACCACGAAGTATCGGGAATAAAAACCGAGTCTCTGGTGATCTAGAGGCACGGGTTCTATAGCACCCTTTGACAGAAGTGTGGTGACAACTACAGGAAGAGGTGGGAGTTCCATGAATGCAATGGAATAGCCCTTGGCTAAGATGGAAAGGACCCATCAGTCCGACGTAATGGTGGCCCAGGCCTGTAAATATGGATGGAGGCGGGTAGGGTCAGAAGAGGTAGACAGGCGGAAGTCAAAGGCCCCGCTTGCCGGGTTTGTGTTGTTTTAGTCTGACAATCTGCTGTCCAGAACCATATCTCTGTCTGGCCTGGTACTGTTGCCTATTCGCAGATGGGGATCGACGAGGCCTGTAACCTTCATCCAGCGACGGCTTTGCGTATTGGCATCTGGAGTCGCAACGAGACCACGAGCGAGGACAAAAAGGCTTAGAGGGGGCAGAGACCCCCAGCGACCTTGAGGCCTTAATGCTTTTATCCATTTCCTGGAGCATCATATCGGTGGATGAATGGAAGAGACCTTGGCCATCGAAAGGTAAGTCCTCTATGCACGCCCTGGTATCAGCAGGGAGTGTGGTGGTCCTCAACCAGGAATGCTTATGGAGGACAACCACAGATGACATTGTTTTGGAAAATGTGTCCAGAGTATGTATGGATGAGTTGATGATTTGTTTAGAAAGTACCAAGCCTTCCCTCTGCAGCTTCCTAGCCTCCTGACGTTTGTCATCAGGCACTGAGGTCAAAAGGTTGGTAAAGCGCTCCCAGAGCAGTACTGGTAATGGCCCATAAAAGCGACATAATTAGATGTGTTAATGCCGAGAGCTCCCGCCGAGTAAAAATTACGACCAATGGAATCTAACTTCTTGCTTTCCTTATCGGAAGGGGTAGCAAGGGTACATTTACTCT